CATTTGAGTCCTGGCACTGTCACTTAATAGATATGTGACCTTGGGCATGCCACTTAACTGCTGTAGACTCCAGATCTTCTAACTGTAGAATGAAAGGGTTGAATCCAATTTTTAATTAAATACTTATTATAAGTGCTGTACTCAGGCATTACACCAGATGTGAACATGTTAAAGCCAGGAGTCTACCAACTTATTGGATGATCTAGGATATAAATGTCCTCTCTGGGCTCACTAATTCTAAAATAACTGATTCCATGATGGTCCAGTAATTTATAGGGCTACCAAAGATTTAGAGCAGACATTTCAAAGATGATTATTCTCCCTCTAGCCGTGGTGGCCTAGTGTCTAAGCCATTTGACTGCTAACCAGAAGGCTAGCCATTCAAACCTACCAGCCACTCCTCAGAAGGAAGGATGGGTAATCTACTTCTGTAGAGATACCACCTCAGAAACCCAAGGAGGGGTCACTATGAGTCAGAACCGACTCAAGGGCAGTGAGTTTGGTTTTTGGTTTTCAGTTGGGTGGGGAAAGGATTGGAAAGGATTAGACTAGGACAAGTGGTCACAGGGAAACTCTGAGCCCAGAGACAAGGTATAAGAGGTTAGATAAGAAACTGAAACCTACTGGGAAGAATGGCCCAGGACCTCTGATTTTCACTGTATGTGTGTGTAAAATTATGAAGCTCACTATCATCATCATCATCATCACATTAAATGGAACTTCATGCCATGAAAGAAAGGTATTCCTTATAAACATTTGAAAGCTAACAAAGTGAAATAAGAAAAACCACAAACCACACTTGGTTGTGTCAAATACTAATAGTCATTTTAGTCATTATTAGAACCATTTGCTATTTGTGTCTAGTTACCATACAACACAACCACACTGCATGCCACTAAAAATGTGTCAGGTTAATCTTGTTATAAATTATATCTTATATTTGACTAAAAGTTAAGGTCATGTAGATAGTCATCTCTTTTTGTCACCCTGCCCAATGGAGCCTGGCCTGAGACGCCTGCAGTCATCTGCTCCCTGGGCTTACTCTGGGGCACAGTCAGGGTTTCCAAATCCCTTCGAAAGAATCCTACACAAAATGATTTCGAAGCCTGGTAAGATCTAAACACCCTGCCAGTAATTTCTTGACCCAAAAGTCTACAATTAGAAGTCAATGATGAAATGTCTCTGGAGGATGAAGCTAAGTCAGAGATAGCAACATGCAGCACAAATGAGTCTGGTTCATCTTGTAGCATTTAACTGAATTTGAATTCTAAGCTTTCTCCGTCTTGATCGTCTTAATCTCTCACATTTACACACATCTCCTCCCCTGTCCTGCCAGTCTCTGGTCCTTTTTCTCCTGTGTCAGGGTTTTTTACACACAACAATGCATTCCAGTGTAGACAGGCTCTGTTTTCACAAAGGTAACAACACTTTACTTTTGCTTGGCACTTATTGGTCCAAGAAGCTCTAGTGGTATAGTGGTTAAAGCATTAACCAAAAGTTTGGCACTTGTTAAACTTGTCAGCCGGCTCCATCCAAAGATGAGGCAGTCTGCTTGTGTAAAGATGTATAGTTTTGGAAACCCTCTGGGTAGTTCTGCTCTTTCCTATAGGGTCATTATCAGTCTGAATCAACTAGATGGCAGTTGATTTGGGTTTTTTGGTTTTATAGGTCCCAAAGTCCTTTTCCATACTTCAATCATATCCAGGTTGTAGACCAGCAGGAGTTATTCCAATTTTTGGATAAGCAAATGAAGAAGTCAGACAATTTGTCTAGGGTCATGTGGTCAGTAGCAAGCTGAACTGGGGCTTTCCAGCCCTCAGGTCTAAGTAGTTGTCTTTCTTCTGTGCTGTGCAGCCTTGATGTGAGGGAAATACTTTCCACTAGTTTTCTATACCTCTCATGAAAATGTCCTGGGTTTGTATCCCCCTTTGACCATAGTACACCTCATCCCAGTGTCTTCTAGGAGCGACCTCTGTACTTGCTGGCTCTCTCTCTCCTTATCTGTGACCAGGAGAGCTCCTTGCCTCACTTCAGGATGCAGTGTGAATACTTTCCCTCTGAGAGCATTACTGAGCCTTTACTCACATTGAAAGTCACCTGCCCCTATTTCTCTGTAGAGAAAACCTTTTCTTTTGACTGTAGAAGCAGAGAAGGCCAAGAAATAAACTCTAGCCAAGGAACCATATCCTGGGCTGATGTGCTTTGAGGAAAAGCATTCCAGATGTCTTCTTCTGTATCTTTCCTTTTTAAGACTCATTAGGTCCTGCTCTCGGAGGCATGCATTGTCTCTTTGTCACCAGTGGGTACCTGTGAAGAGGGGCTGTGTACTCTGGGCCAATTGGGCTCTGTGTTCCATTTGTTCACACTCTTAAACTGGCTCCCTATGCCTGAATAGGATACTCAAAGCCCTCCAGAATTAGACTAAAGCTACATACAAATGGTTAACATGCTAAGCTGCTAACTGAAAGATTGGACTTTCAAGCCCACTCAGAGGTGCATTGGAAGGAAGGCCTGGTGATCTACTTCCGAAAAAACAGCTAGTGAAAACCCTATAGGGCACAGTTCTACTCTGATTCACATGGGATCGCTGTGAGTCAGAGTTGACTCAACAGCAACTGGTAACTCTCCAGGCTCAGCTTCCTCTCTACTGCCTGTCTCATGGGACCAAACACAGACACACACACACACACACACACACAGAGAGAGAGAGAGAATATCCCAGTCACACTGAACTATTTTTTCATCCCTGGACGCTTGGGTATTTAGTGTGTTTGTGTGTGTATGCACACATGCCCATTCTTGCAGATCTTTCTCTCTGTCCAGGCTCCCCTTTAATGTAGAGAATTGTGTGGTATTTCCCAGAGGGTGGATGGCTGCCTCTATGGAACATGGAGTGCTTTGGGGATATGGCATCAAATAATATATTAAGTAACAAGTGGATAGCCTAGTGAAAAAGTTATCCCCTTCTCCACTCTGGTAGGCAATTCCTCCAATAAGGTTATATGTTCACACTTCTTTAACATTCCCCTTCTCCATTTTTAATCAGAATTCAGGGCTCAGTCAGAGCCTTCACAGACAACAGGCTCTAGCTATAATACCATAACATTGTTTTATTTTCATTATATTTTGTTTTTCCCTTATGAAAAGTGATTTTGATTCCCATTTAAGGAAATGATATGAAGTGTTCTTTTAAAATAAATGCTAAGTTATTTAAAAGTGACCCAAGCTAATGAAAACTATTAAGTAAATGATGATTGGTACAAAATTATGCCAGGAATAATATCAGTGGAACATACAGGATTAAAAGTGGGGAAGCAGTGCTGCAGTATTTGGAAAATGTTGTGAATCCCAGCTCTGTTTCTACTAGCAGAGTGACCTAAGTACCTTAACTTCTCCATGCTTCTGTTACCTTATCTGTAAAAGAAGAATGTTAAAGGTCTACCTTAAATGTGGGCTCCCTGGGTAACACAGTGACACAAACAGTTAAGCGCTTGACTACTAGCAGAAAGCTTGACAATTCAAACCCACCAGGAGGTGCCTCAGAAGACATGCCTGATGATCTGCTTCCAGAAGGTTTTAGTCTTGGAAATACTATGGAGCAATTCTACTCTGCACACATGAGGTCGCCATGAAGACTCGACTCATAGTGACTCCTCCTTGAGTTTCCAAGGCGGTATCACTACGGAAGTAGATTGCCCAACCTTCCTTCCAAGGAGCAGGTGGTGGGTTTGAACTGCCAGCCTTCTGGTTAGCAGTTAATTGCCTTTGGCACTACACTATTTAGCTAGTTAGAATGCTCTCTCTTCCATAAAGTCTTCCCGAGTATTTTATTCAGAAGTTCTCTCCCTTTCCTCCATTCTTTCAAGGAACTTTATACTTGTCTTATGGAATGTCACACATTCTGTCTTATACATTGTTGTGGAGTATTAGACTTTTGACATATCTATATTCCACCTAGGGCCTTGATTATGGATTCCTTTTTTTTATGTGTTTGGTTTATAAAGATGTATGAAAATTCATTCCTATTTTTTTGGGAAGCTCTAAAGATCCTCTCCAATTTCACCATTCTGTAGAGTATCCAGGAAAACCTCAAAGATCCTAGAATAAGAGATAATACTTGCTTAATATCATTTAAATCAATACTGCACAGTCTTGAAACATCGGGTCCTGTCTGTTCCTCTTTTCTGTAGCAAGAGAGAAAGACTCACAAATAGGAGCAGTAGGAGTTATGCCATTGTTGTCAGGTGCTGTCGAGTTGGCTCCAACTCATAGTGACCCTATGTACAACAGAACAAAACCCTGCCTGGTCCTGCACCAGCCTCACAATTTTTGCTGTACTTGAGCCCATCATTGTAGCCACTGTGTCAATCCATCTCATTGAGGATCTTCCCCTTTTTTTACTGAACCTCTACTTTAGCAAACATGATATCCTTCTCCAGGGAATGGTCCCTTCTGACAACATGACTAAAGTAAGGGAGATGAAGTCTGACCATTCTCGCTTCCAAAGAGCATTCTGACTGCATTTCTTCCAGGACATATTTGTTCATTCTTCTGGCAGTCCATGGTACTTTCAGCATTCTTCACCAACACTATAACTCAAAAGCATCAACTCTTCTTCCATCTTCTTTATTCATTGTCCAGCTTTCAATAGGAGTTATGAGACAAAGACTATATGGGGATGACGGGAAGATGACTGGCAATAGATGGCAAACCACAACATACACAAAAAGGATGGGCACAATATGCTGTATGATTGGCACACTGAGCCTTCAGAATAAAATATCAAATTAACCTGACATGACTCTTTTGCACAGGACTTTTCATAATTAAAATACAAGAACAGATTAAAGTGTGAACCTGAATATAGGAAGGCAACAAATTGCCAAAGGCAATTAACTGCTAACCAGAAGGTTTTACCCTCTCATCTAAGGCTGGACTGATGAGGAGTACGTCTGAAAGGAGTTATCTTTGGTTGAATCATTTATTTTTCCCCTTTTCAGAAGCTGCGACAGAGCCTCTTTGGAAACACTGCCCAGATCTTCACTTATGATTGGAAAAAGGCCTATTTCAAGTTCCATGAACCCTTCTCTGACCTAGCTTTTGCTTTGGAAGTTGGAAAGGTAATTAACTAGTTGATAATGTTTAAAAACCCTACTCCCATGTTCCCTACCCATGTTTCCTTTTATTCCTCATCCATATGAATGTATGTTTTCATTATAATCATATATAGAAACACATTTATAATTTAAAATTAACCTTAAATTATAACAGACTGTTTGAAATTATAATATCCTGTCTGGTTGTAACAAGCCTCAAATTCCCTTTTCTTTTCCTTCAAATTCTCTTTTCTGTAGGTTTTAAGCACTGCCGAGATTTAGGAGAGAGGGGATCTAGACATTATTTTCTGGTTTGTTGAATCACAATAATTCATGCCGCTGACCACCAGCCAACACCTAAATTTCAAGGAGTAACTGGCTAGTTTCTTACCTCTTAAACCAAAACCCAAATATATTGCTGCTCGATTCCAACTCATAGTAACCGTAAAGGACAGAGCAGAACTGTACATAGGGTTTCCAAAACTGTATTCTTTACAGAAGCAGACTGCCGTACCTTTCTCCTGCAGAGTGGTTGGTGGGTTTGAACTGTTGTCCTTTCAGTTAGCAGCTGAGCGCTTAACCATTACCCCACCTTAAGGACTCCTTAAGGTAGAATAAAGGACAGGTATCTCCAGTTAATGCCATCTATTTCCGAGAGAGTTCTCTTTTGTAACACTGGCCCTAGTTCTTCCACTACCATGTCAACTCCTGCTCCCACCCTCACACACCTTGGTATTCATCCTCTCCATTTCAGGGAGGTGCCCGAGGCATTCAGATGGCCGTACAAGTATCCATCATCAAATACTTGTTGTTTACAAGGAAGGAAAAAGACTGTAACATTCATAGGTAAGAGGACTGTGAGAAGTACTTGAACAAGTTACTCATTCAGTGGAACCTTTATATGCTAAATAATCAATCACAACAGAAAAATTTATCTGCTTCAGGAAGGGGACCTGCCTCAAAAGACAGAAATGACTCTGTTTCTGGCAGAGGGATGGCTTCTGTGGCTGGGGAAGGCTCTCCTGGAGTCACTCTCAATGTTCAGCTGCAAGAATCATGTTGGCAGATTTCATGCTCTGCTGCAGACTACCCTGTCAGGTCAAATTAAGCACCAAATCTCAGGTGGGCTTGGTTGTCCACATTTGCTGTAAAGCCCCACCTAACAATTCCAGGGAGGAACAAAAGGTGTGATGAAGCATTTGATAAATGAAGGATCAACTCTCTTATTTAACCCAGCTGACAAAGTACATCATTTGGTGGTTGCCTATTAAGGGGGAAAGAAAAAAAAAAAAGATCAAATTACTTTATCCCTAGAAGTTAACAAACCCTATCATGTGTAAAGCCCCATGCTACATATTAGAGGAGATAGAAAGAAATAAAAGGCATACATCTGCCCTCAGACAGGAGAAGTTATCATCAAAAACAGGAACTAAATGTACAATATATTTTAAGATCGTGAATGCCAAGTTCCATAGAAGCAGAGCTTCAGATGGGAATTTTTAATGCAAGTAATTTATTAAAGAAGTGCCCTCAGGAGCAACTTGTAAAGGAGAGAGGGAGGGAAGCAAAATAGTCAGGGGATAAAAGTAAGCATTGTTGTTGTATGCCATTGGGTCAATTTTGAATCACAATGACTCCATATAACAAGAGTAGAATTGCCCCACAGGAATTTTTAGGATGTTTTTTCTTTATGGGAACAGATCACCAAGTCTTTCTCTTATGGAACCACTGGGTGGATTTGAACTGCCAACCTTTCTGTTAGCACCTAAGCACTTAACCATTGCACCATCAAGGCCTGTAAGAAGCCTAGTAAGGATGTGGTTTCATGGGGAGCTCTGGAGCATAACTCTGCTGCAGAGTCAGTTCCTCTTTAAGATAAGGCAACAGTGCTTTTGTTCCTCTCATCCCCATCAGACATTGGCTGTGGGCCATTCTTAGGGAGGGGGCATAACTCCCAGTCACTTCAGGGCAAGATGGCTCCAACCATCCAGAGAAAGTTGGAAAGTGGGAGCCATTATCAGCAGTAACCGTAGAAGTTGAAAGGTATGCCCATCAACTGAGAAACAGATCCCACAGAATCAAGATGGAAGACACACAGCATTTGCTACCTGTATGTAATGCATTTGGCACAGTACTTAGCATGTGGTAAATATTAAATAAATGTTAATGAGTAACTGCTATTATAGACCTGTTCCAAAAGCTACCACTTCCATGAAGCCTTCCTAAATCCTCCCAGTCAGTTCTCTCACCCTCCTCTGTACTCTCATAACACTTGGTCTTATTCTCTTTCTTTCTACCTGTGCTAGAGTTTTGGCAAATTAGGCTCCTTGTTACTCATTTCTATGTTGTTGTTGTTGTTGTTTGCCGTCGAGTCAGCCCTGACTCATAGCGACCCCTCCTTGGGTTTCCGAGGCGTCATAGAATTAGGTGAATTATACAAACCATTATAAGCTTTTGTTTTATTACGTGCTGTCAAGTCAATTCCAATTCAAAACTATCTTATGTGACAGAGTAGAACTGCCCCATACAGTTTTCTAGGCTGTAATCTTATGGAAGCAGATAACTAGTCTTTCTCCCAGAGAGCCACTGGGTGGCTTTAAACTGCCAACGCTTCCATTAGCAGCTGAGCACCTAAATGTTTGCACCACAATGAGTCCTTTAATAAGTCTTTATCTTGTGTTTTTTATAAAGACCATAGATTATTGTTAAATATTTAAAGAATAAGTTAGATAAAAATTCTACTAAAAATTTTCTCCCATTTCCTGGGAAGCTTTGAGAGAATCTGAGATTACTCAATGCGGGGATGGGAGCCAGAGTGCCTGTATTCAAATCATTGCTCTACCACTTTAAAGATAATGACCAAATGACTCCCTCTCTGTGTGTCTTTCCTCACCTCTAAAATGGGAGTAATAATAATATCTATCTCATAGATATGTTGTGAGGATTAAATGAGGTAATATATTTAAAGTATTTAGAACAATGCTTGAGATGCAATAAGTGCTAAATAGGTGTAAACTTTGTATTACTAAGGGCAGTCTGAAGTAGGTCTTGTGGGATGGACATGATCTCATTAGGTGGGAAGGTCAGAGGTGAACATTAAAGACAGAAAAGCATAAGAAAATGTATGGAGGTGGGTATGTGGAAAATATGTTCAGGGGACTGGTCCATCAAGGGAAAAGAATATGTAAAATGGAAACGCTGGAGATAAACCTGGAAGAATTGTTTGAGGCTGAGCTTGGAAGAGGACTATTTTATTGAGTTAAAGAGTTTGGATGGACCACTTGCTGGAGTTCAGAATAGAGGATAATGATAGTTCTTGGATTCAGTGGGGGTGTCTTAGTTCTCTACTGCTGCTGTAACAAATACCACAAGTGGATGGCTTTAACAAACAGAAATTTGTTTTCTTACAGTTTAGAAGGTTAGAAGTCTGAATGTATATTTTTATATATGTGCACTGGTGGCACCATGGTTAAAGCACTCAGCTGCCAAGCAAAAGGTCAGAGGTTCGAACCCCACTAGCAATTCTGCAGGAGAAAAGACCTGGCAATTTGCTCCCATAAAGATTACAGCCTAGGAGACCCTCTGGGGCAGTTCTAATATGTCTTATAAGGACACTATGAGTGGGAATTGACTCCACAGCACATAAGAACATCCACAACAAGCTTTAGGGGAAGACTTTCTTCGTCTGTCCTGGGGAATAATCCTGGTCTCAGCTTCTCTAGTGTTCTTCTCATGTTCCTTGCATATCTCCACCTGATATATCTCTCTCCCCCATCTGGGCTTGCTTTGTTCTGCACCTACTCTGCTCTTTTCTTATTTCTAAAGTCATTAGAGGAGCTCCGGTGGTATGGTGGTTAAAGCACTCATCTGTTAACCAAAAGGTCGGCAGTTCATACCCAACAGCTGCTCCACTGGAGGAAGATGAGGTAGTCTGCTTCCATAAAGACTTACAGCATTGGAAATCCTATGGGGCAGTTCTACTCTGTCCTAAAGGGATGCCAAGTCAGAATTGACTTGCTGGAAGTTGGTTTGGTTTGGTTTGGAAAGTCACCAGGTTTAGGACATACCTTACGCTGATGTGGCCTTATTAACATAACAAAGAAAACCCTATTCCTAAATGAGATTACATCCACAAATATAGAGGTTAGGATTCTGACACATATTTTGTTGTTGTTATGTGCTATCGAGTCGGACCCAACCCATAGTGACCCCTCCTTGGGTTTCCGAGGCAGTATCGCTACGGAAATAGATTGCCCAACCTTCCTTCAGAGGAGTGGCTAATGGGTTTGAACGACCAGCCTTCTGGTTAACAGACAAGTGCCTTAGGCAGTATGCTACCAGCGCTCCCCCCAACATATATTTTAGGGGAACACAATTCAATGTATAGCAGGGGATAAGAGTACACAGGGCAGGATTGACTGAACTCACTAAGAAAAATGATGTACAGTTAACCCTTGAACAATGCAGGGGTTAGGGGTGCCCTCCTGCAGTTGAAAATCCACATATAACTTCCCCAGAATTTAAGTACTAATAGCCTACTGTTGAGCAAAACCTTACCGATAATATAAAAGTCGATTAACACAGTTCTTGCTGTAAAGTTATTAGATTTTCACCTGAAGACACTTACACACCTACAAACAGATAAGCTTATTAACTGTATGGAATGATGATTATTTACTATTCATGAAGTGGAAATGGATCATCATAAAGGTTTTCATCTTCATTATCTTCACTATGAGTAGGCTGAGGACAAAGAGGAAGAGGACATGTGAGTCGTGCTGTCTTAGGGGTAGCAGACTCAGAAGAGGTGAAGGAAGTAGAAGCGGAGGCAGGAGGGGCAGACACACTTGGTGTAACTTTATGGAAACACACCGTAATTTCTGTTTGACCTTTTTGCTCCTTCATTTCTCTAAAAATGTTTCTATAGGGTACCAATCCTTCCACCATTTGCTTTAGGTTCAGTGCCCATATCATAGAAGGGTTCATGTCATAAAAGAAGTCAAAAGTAGTCTTGAATAATTGGAATCCTTCTGACAGATTGTCAACTGTCCATTTGTTTCCTGGCATTGCTTCTATGTCTTCTTCCTCATCGCCTGGCACTAGTTCAGAATCACTTATTTCCATCAAGCCATCTTCTGTTAATTCCTCTGTTGTGTTGTCTATTCTCTCTCAAATTTCTCCATGATCCATATCTTGAAAAAAATCCACATATAAGTGGACCCATGCAGTTCAAACTATGTTATTTGAGGATAAACTGTACTGCTATATAGATTCCACTTCCAGTGACAGTAGAAAGGACAGACTCCAGTGGCATTTTTAATCGTAGGTTGATGAATGAACAAGATAGACCCACCGTGTATTCAGAAGGCGGCATAAAACTGGCCCTAGCACATGAATGGGAAACTGTTCATTCCAATTATTTCATACTCCTACCTTCTGCATTACAGTTTACATGAAATAAGCAAGCAGGATCAGGAACAAGCCATGGTCAAGACACTCTCTGGTGTCCTGTGGGCTGCAGGAGAAGCTCAGAAGGCCACCATTTGTCTTGTCACTGAAGACATTTATGTTGCTTCAACTTCTGACTACCCCAGGGATGATTTCACAGAGCGGGTAAGTGCACTTCTGCCTGTCCTGCCAGATATAGGGTCAATGATGCTTGAGCACACATCTACACTGACCACAGAAATGGAGTTTGAGCTCCAAGGATGTTCCTAGAAGTGCCTGGCTGGGACCAAAAACATCTTTCAAAGAGGCAAGTGTACAAGGCTATGAGTGGGCCAGGCATCCAGGATGGACAGTCCTCCTGTGAATTCCTTATTCCAAAATTAACCATAATCAAGCTATCCTGTAACTGAAAACATCTAAACTACATTTCCATAGCTTCTGTCTTAAAAATAATTAAATTCTATCAGGAATAATGATTTGTTTGTGGTTTTACTCTTTTCTTGTTTAAAATTGAAGAATGTAAAAGTCATGATGCCAGTAGCCACACAATTGTATTATGTATGTTGTACATGGTCATATGTAAGATAATATGTCAAGCTTTTAGCGATGTGATTGTGCAATGAAAAAAAAAAAAACTCCTTTGAGGTAATAATAATGAGTTGATGTCTCTTAGATGTGACTTTCATCTTCCTTTTCATTTTTATCATCTATTCCTGATTTATAGCTCCAGCTGTTTGAATTTCTAGAGAAAGAAGCCACTGAGAAATTCATCTATGATCATTTACAATGTGTAAGTGTTTAAATGTTGAGATAATTTCTTTATGTTCAACAGATCTTACAGGAATCTTCTTTCTTCTATAAAGTATATTCCTAATGATGCTTGTTAAGAAAGCCAGGTCATTTTGAGGGCTAAGAAAGGCGGAACTAGAGAAAGAAAAGCCTGCTTCTCCTTCCTCACAACCTAGAAAAGGCCCAGATCACAAAAGCCCACCCACAAATGCCTTTTTCCTAGGCTAATCAAACTCAGAGAATAATACTTTAGAGGGCCTATACCAGGATCTCTTTTGTGGGTGAGGGGGGAGATATTAAAGCTACCTTGCCTCATCAAATGAATCAAAAGAATAATGATAAAAAACTAAGACCCTCACTTTAGCTGTGAAATGACCATCCAGACTGACTGCAAGTAAATGACTTCTGGGTTCATTTTACCTAGTCTACCAGTACCTTCTGCAGAATGTCCTTTCCTGCAATGATTCTCCCCTCACCCCATCCCAGGTGGTGATGGGTTGAAATAGGGCACAGTAATGGTAGGAAATGGAAGGTGCATCTTCTGGGAGAGAGCAAATTTTCTGATGAATCAGAAACCAAGGACATTAGAAGGATAACTATTAAGCTATACAACTGTGCACTCGCACCAAACCAAAAACCCACTGCCATCAAGTCGATTCCTACTCATAGCCACCCCCATTGGGTTTGTGAGGCAGTAAATCTTTAGAGAAGTATGTTGCCCCGTCCACGGAGTGGCTGGTGGATTTGAACCACCAAACTTCTGGTTAGCAGTCAAAATGCATTAGGCACTGAGCCACCAGAGAGCTCCTTGCAGACTTGCACAGAAGGTAGAAATGTGGCTCATGAAACTCACTGCTTCATTCCTTTTGAAGTCCTGCAGAGGCAGAAAATTTGGGCATGAGTTCTCAGCCACACACTAACTACTGAACTTGGTTAAATTATATACCTTGGACCTACTTTCCCCACCATCTCATAGGTCTGTTGTTAACCTGTGTGTGGTAGGCAGAAAATGGTCCCCCAAAGATGTCTGTGTTCTACTTCCCAGAACCTGTTAATATGTTACCTTATGCAGCAAAGAGGAATTAAGGTTGTAAATAGAATTAAGGTTGCTAATCAGTTAACTTTAAAATAGGGAGATTATCCTGGATTACCCAAGTAAACCCAGTGTATCAAAGAATCTTTCAATGTGGAAGAGGGAAGCAGAAGATGAGTTCAGAGTTTTGTGTTACGAGAAAACAAACTAACACTGCTGGTTTTGAATACGAAGGAGGGTGGTGAAAAGCCAAAGAATGCAGGTGTGCCCTCTAGAAGCTGGAAACAGCACTTTGAACCTGTTCATTCTAGTTTGACCCCCTGCTGAGAATTTGCTTTTCCACTCCAGATTTACTGAATCAGAATCTACATTATAAATAAATAAATAAATAAGAATCACCTGGTGTTCTGGTTACCTAGTGCCACTCTGACAAGAAATATACCACAAATGGGATGGCCTTAACAAACAAGAGTTTATTCTTACAATTTGGAGGCTTTAAGTCCAAGTTCAAAGTGCCGGGCTCTAGGGGCTGGGTGAAA